TAACATGTAACACATAATACACATGTGTTATTAATTATGTGTTGTCATCATCAAAAACTCAGATATTATTGAGATTATGGGTTCAGCTAAACCAGTGCTCCCCCTATCAACAATCTCAACACATAACTTGGTGATATGGCTGAGCTTGAGCTTGCATTGCATGCAACTGCTGAGGTAGCTTGGCCATATGTTGAGTCAGGAACTCCATTTGTTGGGCAAGAAGTATGTTTTGTGCAAGTAGTGCATCCTGAGCACCAAGTTCATAAACTCCTCTCCTTTATACTTGTGTTCTCCCATGTTGACTCTGCATGTCAGTGGAAGCCATATTTTCAATAACAGCAATGGCTTCATCAGCAGTCTTGAATAGAACCGAACCACTAAAGGATGCATCTAGTATCATCTTAGTGTGAGGTTACAGCCCATTACAAAAAGTTTGCACTTGCATTTTCAGGCTGAATCCATGATTGGGACACTTTCTCAATAAAGCTTTGAATCTTTCCCAAGCTTCACACAATAGTTCATCTACTCATTGGACGAAAGTAGCAATTGCAGCCTTTACTTATATGCTCTTTGGTGGTGGAAAAAAGCGAGCAAGAAATTTGTGTTCCACATCCTCCCAACTAGTCAAACTTTGATTAGGCTATGACTGAAGCCAAGCCTTTGCTTTGCCATTTAGAGAAAATGGGAAGAGTCTCATGTACAACGCTTCTTCATCCTCCCCAATTACACCCACAGAGCCACATAATTCATAGAAAGTAACCAAATGAGCATGAGGGCCTTCATTGTCCATGCTAGAAAATTGATTAGAACTGATGAGCTTAAGTAGAGCAAGCTTCATTTCTGCCAGTTTATCACTCATAGTGGGCCTCACAATGCTTGAGAAATTCCTCTGGCTTGTGTAAGCAATAGAGTCCCCTATGGTCCTCCTTGGAGGTGATCCTGTGTCATCCATTTCTTTCACAAAAGAAGTATCAAGAAGCTCAGTGTTCTAATTGTTGTAAGAAGGTGAAGATTCATGGGCAACTTGTTGATTTATAGCTCGTTGTCTCCTTGTGTCACTATTGTTTCTACGAGCTGTTTTCTCGATCTCAGGGTCGACAAGGAGTGGTTCAGATGACACAGTCCTCCTTGTACGGATATTTCCCTGCATACACTAGAGAACAACAAAACTCGAGCTACAAGTTAGCCCAAAAGTATAGAGATCGTAATTATAATAAAACAGAAAATTAGACACAAAAGAACAAACTCTAAATCGGTTAAAAATTACACAAAAGTCTACTTTTAACACCGAGTCCATAGCAACGACGCCAAAAACTTGTTGAGACTTTGACAAGTGTACCAATTCGTATCAAGTAATAAACCGGTAAGACCGGATATCGTTTCCCAAGAGACTCGTGTCACCAAACAATCGTATAACTTAGAACTAACTTAGACTAAAGAATGATTCAATAATTTGGGTTTTAGTGAAATTAAAGTAAACATGAAACATAAATGATAAAAGTGATCTTAGATACTCAAACACTTGGAAATGGAAATATTAGAAATGATATGAAATGGTATTGTTGGGGGTATGATTTCACCTACTTCACTCTTATGTATAGGAAATTACTTCCTCTTCATTAATATGCCAATGTCAATTTACTAAATTACTCAAACTGAATCCCTTGGTAGAGAGAGCCTAGACTTCCATATTAGGCTCCAATCTCTTGGAAAACCTAATAATTATTTCCGCATTAAGAATTAAGATTTAAGACAACCAAAGGTCCTAGTTCTATCCTTAGATATTATTTCATTTAGGAGTTTAATCCAGTTCCATATTTATTCAACATTTCCCAATATCAAGCAAACCCTAAAATCATGCCATGAGTAGCAACTTCACAACAAGCATTAAGAGAAGGAATTAAACAATAACAATCAATGAGAGATGCATATATTCATTCAAAACACAGTAGTTTACATAAGAGTTCAGTGGTTACATTAATCCCCCAACAACAATGAAACTAGCTCTCCATGAATGAAGAGCTCAAGCTTACAAAAATGTTGGAAATGAAAGAAGGAAGAAGACCCAATGGTGAAGAAGGATTGTTCCCACAGCTCCCAGCTCACCTCCAAGAGCTCCAAATGAGAGAAATCGTGTTTGGACAGCCAAAGATCAAATCCCTTCGAGTTTCAGCCCTAAATAGACCAAATTTGCCACATCAGCGTCACTACCGCTCAGTTGCACCCCAACTGCAGCCCAGCTACAAAATTTCAGTGACAGAGCACTCAATTGCAGCCCAGCTACAAAATTTCAGTGACAGAGCACTCAGTTGCAGCCCAGCGGCAGCATTCCAGAGAGCAGACGCTCAGCTGCACCCTAGGGGCAACATTCTAGAGAGGTGGCGTTCAGCTGCGTGCCAACTGCACCTCAACTACAGTAAGCCAGGATGAATGGGGCTCAACTGCATGCTAGCTGCACCCGAGCTATAGCATTTATCTTTGCTCAATACTTCCTCTTTTACATGTGGTTCTTCCATTCTATGGTTTGGCATACAAGCTTCATGAAAATGATCTAACACAACAAAAAGTGGGGATTATTGATAAAATTGGAATCAATACAACTCAAGATATAACTACTCAAAAACACAACAAAGTAAGGCATAAGGAAGGTAGAAAACTAAGAAACAGTTGATTTTGTTTACTTATTCATAATAGAAATATAGGTAAAATTCAACATTATCAGTGGAGTCTTTTAATTCCAAAAAGGAATCACAGAATGCAGAGTTCTAGAATCCAAATCAATTTCTCAAAAGAAAAAAATTGCATAAAATCAAAAGCAAAGAAAGTTTATTAACAAGAAAAGAAGATTACAACTATACCGGAAGTCACCAAGATTCTCGCGGCCTGTCACCCTCGCAATTGTCTCGGCCACAACCAAAAGAAAATATAAACCCTAATCTATGAAAGTGAGTAAAACTAGAACTACTTTCTATTCTACTCAAAAACTAAAATTGTAAAAGCTCTGTGAAAGTAAAAGTGTGTATTTACACGAAGAAAACCCCTTTATATAGGGTCGAAAAAAATGAAAGAGGGAAGAAAGGGGAAAAGGGAAGATAAGTCGAGAACCTTCTTCGATATGCTTTGAGCTTCCCATCGGACGATCACCGCTCTTTCTTGCACTGCTCTTATCTTTGCCCTCTGATCAACTCTAGCTTCTCACCGATTCAGCCGATTGAGCCTCCCGCACGTGCACATTCACTGGATCATCTTCATTTGGTAAGTGGCACGAGCCATAGCTTCCTTCTCTCCCATTCACTCTTCTTTTCCTCTTTGCTCAAGCCCTAGCTCTGAAGGAGTTTTCTCCAAATGAAATGCTCGAGTGTTTCTCTCATTTTGCCAAAAGATGCATATTGCCAAAGATCCCGAAAAGTAGTAGCTCCCTACACCAAAACGTTGCGTTTAATTAATTGGGAGTCAGCCCAATGTAGTGCAGTAGTGGCCCAATATTTCTTCTGGCTAGAATAACGACCCATCAGCGTTTACAACAACTCAGCTATCCAAGGCAGCAACAATTACTCCAGGTACAACGCGTCATTAATCTTCCTAAAGGGCCTCAACTCAACAGCTTTATGTGCGAAGGTCCAACTAGCTAAGGTGCTGCGTTTCCATTCCATCTCTGACCCAATTTCAATGCAGTGACCCAATTCCAATTAAATCTGTCTAGCAGCAAAAAGAGAAAAAGAAATCAATTCAAAATTAAAGAAAAGAAAATGAAATCTAACAATTAAAAAGAAAGATTTTTATCAAAGATTTTCTAAAAAAATATAAAATCTTTAATCATTAAGAAGAACCTAAATAAATACTCCTAAAAACATATTTTTAACTAAAAGTATACAAAACTAAAGAATTTAAGGAAAAACCTAAAACTATCCTAATTCTAAGCAATAAGAAACTAAAAGAAGCTAAGAAAGACTCCTAATCATAGAAAAATATGTAAATTTGGAGAGTTATTGTTAAAATAGAATGACTCAATTTCTCACACCAAGAGGGGGGCTTTGAATTGGTGAAGAATAAAATTTAAAACTTTCAAAAAATAATTCACCAAAAGAGATGCCTTTATACTTTTCTTGAAACGCAAGTTAAAATATTTTCAATGCAGCGGAAATTTAATCGAATGCGTGTAAAGTATAATCGATTGAATGTAATAGAGTAGGATAAGAAAGATCAAACGCTGAGTTTTTATACTGGTTCGGCGAAGCCTACATCCAGTGTTCTTCCAACCACAGGAAGCCAATACACTATAATGATCAAGGTTTTTACAACAATGTTTTTATAGAGACCTTACGTCAAAAATATAAAACACCTCTCTAACCCTCTAATAAAAATATAAGCAGTACACAAATAGATTAGAAACAAGAATCTCCTCTTTTGCAGTCCAAATAGAGATGAGTATTATCGGTTATTATGAAAAATATAAAGAAAACAAATAAATTGAAATAAGTATAAATATTATTTTATTGAAAATATTAAAGATTTTTATTTATTTTAAAATTAGAAAAAATATAAATGTTATGAGCTAAATATAATTTCCTTGTAAATATACGAATTCCGAATCTTCCAAATTTACGAAATAAATTTATATGAATAATTATTTAATTTTTATGTAGTTATTTCATTAAAAATATTAAATTTGATACTTTTTACTTCTTGTTAGTGCAAAATACTTATCAATTTGCATTTATAATTTAGTGTAACTTGACATATTTTATTTTGTGATTTTGTCTATCTTTTTTTAAAAGAAATTATGAATGAGTGTTGTCAACTTTCAATTTAGTTTGAATAAATAAATTTATTTCAAACAAATATTTAAAAAATAAAATGTAAACAAAAAAGAGCTGAGGAAAAAAAATAAAATAAAAACAAATTAAAAAATAAGTAATAAAAAAGAATAAAAAATAACAAATGGAAAAACAGTTAAACGTAACCTAAGGGGAGTGAATAGGAGTTAAGGCGAGAACGGCCGTTAGGAGGCGCGACGAGAATCCTAGGTGAGAGCATCGTGAGGATTCCGTTTCGAGGGCACGATAAAGAGGAAGAAGAATTCGAGAAAAACTTACGAGTGAAAACGGAGTCGCGGGATTGGAGGAAGGGTGCGATAGTGGTGGAAAGGAATCAACATCCAGGTATGGAGAGCTAAATTGCTTTTGATTTTTGTATCGTGTTGCTATGTGATTGTAATGGTGCCTATGGATTCTGGAAATTTTGATACATATACTCTTTTATGTTATATGAAAGGGAAAGGTAAAATGGGGTTTTCGATTACTTGTATGAATCAATTTGGGATTGATTTCTGAGTGGTTAGTTTATGATGTATAGACTAATCTGTCTAATTTTATAATGGATTGTTAACAATGAACATATTGATTGAACAATCTTTCTACAATCCTTCTAGTGATATATGCAAAATAAAAGTGTATGAGTGTGTCCTATTCTGTCAAATTATGCTATTTGATTTTAATGCTGAGTGAATGCAAATTAGGAATATGACCTTGCTGATTTGGAATCAAATATTAATAAACTATTCGGTGTTGTATGTCCTTTTAATGGCTAATATGCAGTTGGAAATTCCGCTCTGTACCATTTATATATATATTGGTTCTGGATTCAAATAAGCTTGAAATTAGAAAGATAATATGTAGATATCTGTTAGCTTGACGTATGCTTGATTCTGGAATAAAAATCTGGTTGTGGAAAGTAGAGTAATGTTGATTTATAGTAAGTTTTGGAATAAAAATCTGGTTGTGGAACTGAGCGCTTTTTCTGACTATATTGAGACAGGAAGAGTGGACTACTCAATGCCCGATAGGTGTATGGTTTTATCATTGTTAGACCACTGGGAGTAATGTACCAGGAGAGAAAGATAGGGGGTAATGATTGGTTTGTTGTCGTGGGGGAATTGTGAATTGATTGAATGCGTGTGTTTTCATATTATTGAGTGGCTGTTGTTGTTTTGTTTATGTGATTTTTTTTTTTTTTTTTTTTTTGCGTTAGCTCATCCGTACAATTGATTGTTTTGTTGAGGTGTGTGTTATGATGATCGTAACGATTGGATTATACGGATCAGTTGTGGTGTACATGTGATTTAGGTATTTTGGTAGATTTGAGAAAGATGAGATAGCTTCATCGGGAATTTTCTTTTCAGAAGGATATTTATTTGGTCATTAGGAAATTGTATTATCTAATGTTTTCTAATGAAAAAGGATATCAAGTTATGTATGTTTCTTTCAAGTTGCAATTAATTGAGCTTATGTATTGATTGGAGTTTTATTACCTGAATTAAGAAATTTATTTTACTCGGGTATTTTAATGAAAAATATTTTCTTTCGGTTATGTTTTAGTGACTCCCAAAGGTGGGATATTACATTTGGTATCAGAGCCAGGGTTTTGAAAAAAAATATTGAGATCTTGGGGAGTGAGCTGGTCTAGTTTGTGATGTGCAACTATGATGTTCTTGAGGTATGTTGTTTCAAAACTATTTGAATGATGGCATTAGTGCAGAATAGGAAGAAAAAACTAAGTGTACCTGCTGCTCTGAGTTACACATGTTATTCTAGATGTCTGCGGTTAATTAGAGTTCTATGTGAATGGTGTGAATATGTTCAGATTGATTGTTTGACTACAGCGTAATGATGTGTAATATTGCTGGAAATTTGTGGATGAGGTAAAGAGATTCTATATTAAAACATTTTATAATTGAGGGAATACATTTCTATTAAAGTTATCAATTCCATTGATTGATTTTACACTGTTTTGGTTGTTTGCTTTGATGTTATGTGTGTGAAATTCTCTCATTGAATTGGGAGAAGGATAGATTGGTACGAGAAAACTGATGTCAGAAAGGGAATGTTGGCATGGGTCAAAGATAATGAAACAAGGGAAGATAAAGTGTTTAACTATGTGGTTAATGTGTTCTGATACTTGGAAGTATGATTTTTTTGTATGCATGTATGATAACTTGTTTGTTATCTGCTTGGTTTGTAAAAACTATTTAACTCTGTATGGTCCAGTATCATTGGTCTAAGCATGTCTGTATATGTGTATTTTGACATTAGGATGGAATTATAGTAGATTACAACATCATGTGCTGATTGGATGGTGACAGATTGAGTCATCATTGCTGAAGGTGTGAGTGCATTGTATGTTTTACCTGAAATTTATTGATTGTGAGAGTATTTAGTTAGTGTAGATTATTAAGTATGCATGTTTTGGTTAAGACAATGAGGGTAGGGGTATGTTTAGGTAATGATCAAAGTAAGTAACCAAGTTAAGTATAATTGTTATTTAAACTGGTTTGGACATGAAGAGGTAAGGAAAATTGGTTATGCTCTGATGGTTTTGTGTGGAATATCATTAGATCTGCAAGATACTAGGTTAACCCAAAATGAATTTAGTTAATGAAATATCTTGGTAAAACTACTGCTATTAAGTGCAAATTTGGATGAGTGAAAATCTGGTCTGGTGTGGGACTGTTAGGCAAGCATATGTATTCTTGATTCAAACTATGGGAAGTTAAATTGAGTTCATTATTAGCTGCTTTTATATTGGGTTAATTTGTAACTTTCTGTTTACTTTATAGTTTGAGAATATAGTATTGTTTGCCTGTTATATACATGTTAGTGGATAAAATGTAGTGACAAAAGATGGATGGATATCATATTAGATGTTATATATATAACTATTGTTATTGCTTGAACTCTGAAACTACTGCACCGTGGAGTTGATTGTCAATATGTTTAGAATTGGTTGTGATTATGTTAGATTTCTCGAAACAAGAAATAAGAAAACACACACTTGACAGCACCAAACACACACAGAAACACTGAAACAGCCTGGTAATATTATTCTTGTAAGAAAAGAATACAAAAAATACAATTCGAACACTTCCAAGGGAGCTGTCTCCCCTCACACAGAAATACTAATGTCCTGTCACTAAGATACAATCACTCAACATCCAAGGGAACCAGTCCCTTTTCACAGGTACAGACCTGTCCACACTAAGATACAAAAACCGTGTCTGCCCCAGACCCCAACCCTCCTTAAAAAGCCAACCCTCCTTAAAAAGCCAATCCTCCCAAGGAACCACAACTTCCTAACCGTTTTCTCCCAAACCCCTCTAACAACTATATTTTGTTATTGTCTTCCCTTCCTTCTAACGTCCACATTCATATTCTATCATTACACACCGCTGCAAAACAACCTTGTCTTCCAGGTTGGAACAATGAAGCTTGAGTTGGCATTGTTATATGGTCTAATCATTGGAAGGGAACCAGCTGGCTACTACCTGCAACTTCAGGTCTGGAGGCTTGGGTGGTGGTCGATATGAGAGACAAAATTTATGGAACCATTTTCGTGTCTTCATTATTTCCTTGAAAGTGAGGAGCTTCTTATTCTTCCATGTAAAAGAACTTCTTCTATCCGAATTGTCCAAAGAAGAGCCATTATTACTCAACTCGAAATCATGCTTGGTAAGATCTTCAGCCGAGACTATGTCCTTTTCCTGGACACAACACCCTGAATCTTGTTCAAAGAGATTGATGAGTGTCACAAACTCACCCAACCCCCATCCTTTGCAGCTTTTGAGTAGTGGTTCTGAAATTCCTTGGTGAAAGACTTATCCTCCATTTTCTGGTTCACCGTTGATAACTAATGGCTAACAAAACAATTCCAATCACTGGAAGTATTTCTTGAATCTGTATCCATGATTTTCCTCTTCTTTAACAAGTCCTTCCACCTAGTAAAATTCTTGATTCTCCAAGTGAACTTTCCCATATGCCTATCATACATCCGATAACCCCTCTCCCTTCTTCTGGCAATCACACGAACACTCATGGAGAAACTACTGAATTCCTTGCTCACGTGACAAGAGGCGTTAAAAACCCGGGAATCATCCACCAAGAACCCTAAATCCATAATGAAAAAATCTAATATTTTCATATCTTCATTCCATTCCCATCTATTACTGTCACCACTCTTATTATTAGTTGCAAACCAACCATAAGAATTCCTATGCATGTGATTGGATCCACACCTATGGGTCAACATAGACATCCTAACATTCCAACAACTCCTACTAGATAACACCACACTATTTTCTGTGTCCTTGCTTTCCAAACACCTAGACAAATACTCAGCCATGTCCACATTGGTGATGTGGGTGAGAAACTTGTCCTTTTTGCATAGGGCCTGTAGCTTTCCCAAGGAATACTCCCTCAACTGATCTCTTTGTGTTGATTTTACTTGGGACTCCCATATCTTGAATTCTTGGATGAAATTTTTTCCATTCTAAGTCCTTGTTCCTGCTGTCAAACTATCCAATATCATGCTTCTCCTGTTCCCCTTAACTAACCTTGGCAGAGTTGCTGCAAGATCTTCCCAAGAAAAATTCTTGGATTTTTGCTGCCAGGGCTTGAACCCCTGTTCTGTTTTTTCTTCCAGGTTCTTTGATGGTTGGTTTTTTATTGAATTTTCTCCTTTATCTGAGGGTTGCTTTGCTTTCTTGATGTCTTGCAACATATCTTTCTTAGCATCCATACTCATCTTTCCCTCTTTCTTTTTTTTCAAGATATCTTGAAGAAATTCCTCTTTCCTTCCTATTTTTCCACCGTTAACAGAACTTTGATCTTCATTTACAGACCCTTGACTGCCTTCTAATCCTTTTTCCTGGTTCTTGATCTTTTTTCATGAGAACCCTAAACATGTCCATGATTTCTTGAAGTCTCTCTCTGGTCTCCACTCTCAGTTCCTCCAAAGACCTTTCCAATGTGCTCATTCTCCCTTCCATGATTTTTTCCCCTCCAAGATCCGGAAGGTCGAACCAATTGTTAGATTTCTTGAAACAAGAAATCAGAAAACACACACTTGACAGCATCAAACACGCAGAAACACTGAAACAATCAAGTATTATTATTCTTGTAAGAAAAGAATACAATTCGAACGCTTCCAAGGGAGCTGTCTCCCCTGACATACGAATACTAATGTCTTATCACTAAGGTACAATCACTCAACATCCAAGAGAACCAGTCCCTTCTCACAGGTACAAACCTGTCCACACTAAGATACAAAAACCGTGTCAGCCCCCAGACCCCAACCCTCCTTAAAAAGCCAACCCTCCCAAGGAACCACAACTGCCTAACCGTTTTCCCCCAAACCCGTCTAACAACCATATTTTGTTATTGTCTTCCCTTCCTTCTAACGTCCTCATTCATATCCTATCAGATTAGGAACATGTCTGTTGAAAATAATGTGTGGTTAGGATATACGTAGAAACTTGTAATTAGGCTGTGGAGATCTAAAATAGCTTAGTAGATGTGGCTTTTGGAATGAAAATAATCACTCAACTTGCATAACAGAATTCTATGGATCAGTTTGAAATATTGTGATGCAAATGTATGTCATGTATGAAGTAATATACTGATTGGTAAGTGTCTACAACTCTGATAAATCTTTGTTGTACATGGTTGCTTGAATGAATTGAATAAAATGGTTTTAACTTCTTAATATAAGCTTGAATGTTAAATGTCCAAAATCTGTAAGTGCTGAAATGACATGTTTTGCTATGTGATCCTCTGTTTTGGGCGGTTTCTAAATTGATTAAGTTTTGCTGGATTAAGAATGTATGCTAGGCAGTTACAGATGATGGGGTATGTGTTTGGAGTTAACCTAGGTTTCTTTCTATTATGGATGGTTGTTTTGGGTTTGTAAATCCATTGTTTTAGTTTCTTGTAATGTTGGTGCTTTATGATTGAGGTGTTTGATTTTCTTGTTTGAGATGCTTGATGCTTGATTTAATCCACGTTAGTTCCTGTCATGGTTGTCATTGCAGTACAACATTTCTGGTGAGTATGCATTCTCCTAACTGTGGATTAATGTTGCCGCTATCCCATTTTCATTCCATGTTGCGGCATTGTTGCTTTATTTAATTATTACAGTATGTGTTCTGAATATGGGTATTGGAATTATAATGCTTATAATGAAATTTTTAATTGGTATAGGATAAGAACTACTCTTGTTAAGTAATAAATCTGTGAAGGTGTTCTTAAATGATCTGGTTCAATATTATATGGATTGAATGGCAGTACCATGGAGTTTAGAATGTGCAGAAAGGATTGATGGTTACATATATCTTTGTTTTCTTAATATTCTCTTACAATGTTTGATTTTTTGAATGTTTAGCTCATCCATGCATTTGTTTGTTTGTTTGTTATGTTTGTACCTGTGGCGATGACTATATGATGTGATTGTTATACGGGAAAAGTTCCTTACAATTTTATTTGTTTTATACAAAGAATTAATTAATTATATCAAACTATTTATTTTTGTATTGGATTTGGTTGAGAACTAATTTCAGTTGTAAATATTAATTAAATGCAATTTATTTGAGGAGCTATTTTCGAATCATGAAAATTTCAAATTTTTACATGTTTTAGTGACCCCCAGATTTAGGTCGTTACATCGAGAGCAACCACCACTGCCCGAGATCAAGAGAGGAGCCACACAGAGCAAGGAGGCGTGTTACCACGAACAGGTTCGTTTATTTATCCCTTGACTTTGCCCTGACTTCCCTGATTTTGTTTTTGGGTTATACGATTGTTTTGGGGTTCTAATGTCCCTGATTTTGTTTCGCAATTGTTTTGTGGTTTTCCTGATTTTTCCTTGAGCTTCCTTGATTTGCCCTGTTTTTGTCCTTCGGGTTTCGCCCTTAGGATTTATGTTTACTGGATTTTGTGTCTAATCCATGCCCACCCTTATTCACCGCATAATTTTGTGTCTATACAATGCAAAATTGTAAACTAATGTTTTTTTATTTGATTAGTTAGTAACAATGGTCGGAGAAGGAATCAAAAGGCCTCAAATTTCATTACCTATACTACAACCTCCTCGGACAATCAATGTGCAAAAATACGCTGAATCCCGTGCCCTTGAGCTCCATAGTCTACAATCTATCATAGAAAACCGAGTAAACAATGATTATAGATCTCAAAGGAACAAGAGAAGAAGAACAACTGCATTTAACAACCAAATTGCAAGAAAAGGTTGTAGAAGAAAGAGACAGAAAGTGGGAATAGTGGGCAAAGCCTTTGTTAAATCAGGTTTAGAGGAGGATGAACTAAAGAAGCTTCCTCGGCGTGTTCGTCGAAGATATGAACTAAAGAATAACCCAGAGAATGGTTTTTGCACTTCTGGGGATGGAACCAAGAGGCTGAGAACTCATGTTTGGCATGCAAAGCGGTTTGCTATGACCAAGCTTTGGGGTTACCATCTTCCTTTATGTCTTCAAGGAAGGTAGGCTTTTTGGGTTAAAAGGAAACATATGAAAGAGTCAATGGGAGAACTTAAAGCTAATTAAATTCATGATGTAGGGTTGTTTGAGACTTTGATTTTGTTGGGATTTGCTTGAATTTTTATGGAAACCTGGTGCAACAAGAGTGTTTTATCATTTCCTTGGAAATACTAACAAGAATTTTGTATCCTCTTATGCAGAGGGAAAGGTTCGAGGGCACTCTTGAAAAGGCTCAGAGAAGGGGTGCTTGTACACGATGCAAGCTATTACACTGCCCTCCAATTGGAGGGTCCAGAGGTAGTTTATTTTAGTCTTGATTTTAGTACTTTTTTTGGAAATTTCTTCTTTTTCATTGTTAGGCATCTGAGTCTAAGACTTTCTAATGCCTTGTTCTCTCATTGAAACCTATTGAAATGCTTGCTCCAAACAATTATTGTGGGCTCTCAGCCCTAGATAGTGATGGTTTAGTTTTCTGTTTTATCTAATGTTGACTATTATATACAGGATTCGTTGATTTCTGTATTGAGATCGATACTAGAACCCTCTCCAACAAGTACACATCCGGACTCTTTAATCTCTGGTGTAACCTATGGAAGTGCAATGGTAGCTAACATACTTTTGACTCCAGTGACTTCCAGTTTGGTTTAAAATACTGAAAGAAATTTTATTTCTTTACTACAGCTGCGTCAAGATGGAGGCCTCATTTGTCCACCCATTGCTCCTGTGACCTATATGTGGCAACCAACTTCCCAACAAAATATAAGTACACAGCTAGATGAACAAAATCATTATACTTCTTTTGGACAACATGATATCGGTAATGATTCAAACAAACATAGTGTTGAATTATGTGAAAAACCAGACAAAGTGAAGCATGGTTCTTCATTTAGACACCTTTGGGTGTGGATACATGCTTCTGCCTTTGAAGAAGGATTTGATAATCTAAAAACTGCCTGTCGGAAAGAGGTTCACTTTCTTTTTCAGCTTCTTACATGGTTCTTCGTGTTGTTTTTTTTTTCTTTGTAGTTTGTGTTATAAACCCAAAATCAGAGTCTGAGATTTCATATAGAAAGGATTGGGAAAACGTAATATAGTTGTTTCAATAATGAAAGTACAAACAATAGCTTTTCCTTCCAAAAAAAGCTAATGTTCTTTTTTGAATTGCTAACATTGCTGAATGAGGGATCCTACTTCCCTTCTACTATTTAAAATAGCTACCTACCTTTATAGTTTGGTAAGTAACTGCTGTTAATAAATTCTAACGAATTCTATAACTACACTAATTACTGTGCCTAGTTTTCCTTTATTTTTTTTCTGCTGGCCTTCATGAGTTTGTTTATCAGTGTGTTACAAATAATCTCAATTTACACTGCTATCCTCCATTCTCATTGTCCATTTGAAAGGCTTTCATTTCATGTCAGTGCTACATTTTCATGGGACATAATTTGCATTCACATCTCAGCTTGATAACTTTTCACTATGATCGGTACCCAAATTTTATTACTTCTTCAAAGAATTCCAAGACAAGTTATTGGATGATCTTACAATGAAACCAGACAGCTTGGTCTGCACTAGGATGTAGAACACACAACACCAGGTTTTTCGAGAGGACCTGTCTCTCCCTTCCCTTTTACTATCAAAGAACTCCCAGACTTAATGAAAACAACCCTATACAGACTATATATAATAGTTTGTTTACAACAGACAGTTATAATGTCCGTCTCTCATGTCTTTTAATATATACTTCCCCTGAACCTTTCGATACCCATCCATGAAGTTTCACTTTGTCTTCAAGGTGAAAAAGCAGGAAACTCAGTATTGATGGCTGTAGCAGCTTCACAACTGTTTTCAATGGATGGGAGGTGTTTTCAATTGTACTAACTACCTTCTTTTTTCCTTCTTTTGTAAACTGTATCAAACCTATCAATACCCCTCCATGAAGATTCACCTTATCCTCAAGGTGAAAGTCTGGAAATTCTTTATGAATGCAGGCAGCAGATTCCCGTAACTCCTGACTTGCAAGTATGGTTAGACCCAAACTTCTCATCACACTTGAAGCATATTCCCAATTTTTATCTTGCAATTCTTCTTGGGACAATTTTCTAAATGGTGCCCCATTTTGTGGAGTTCCAGCAGGAGAACTATTGATGGTATTGACACAGCCACTGCTCTCTCCACTTCCTCTGTTGGAGTTGGTAAATCCCACGGAATTTCCCCTTTCCTTTGAGTAATTACGAGTAGGTGGCAACTGTTTGTGGGTGTTACTTTGAAGCTGCACAGTGAGAGATTCCCCTTGGTGGTGACTCTAACCTTTTCTTCCACCATTTGAGCCTTCATCATTAACTCAACAAGGTTCTTGGGCTCATACAGTTTAACTTCAACATTGATTTCTTCCTTCAACCATTCAAGAATATGCCAATCAAATAATCTTGCTCTATTCCTTTCAAGAATCTAACATCTTGTTCAAACTGTTCAATATATTCTACCATTTGTCTAGTTTGGCATAGCACAATCAAAACCTCAAATAGGTTTTCCCGCATTGTTGGCTAAAACTGTCTAACCACCGCGTCTTTGAAAGCTTCCCATGTGGGATGCAGATTGCAGGTTTCCTATTGTTGAAACCAATTCAAAGCTTTCCCCTCCAAAGCAACCATCACAACCTGCATCCTCTCCTCCTCATTGACTTCTTCCAAACAAAAATACTTCTCCAGCCTGTTGGTCCAGCCTCAAGCTTCGTCTCTTGTAAACATAGGAATGTCCAACTTCTGCCATTTTGATAGGATATAAGGTAATAGATGTTGTTAGGGGTTGGAAAGTATACGAGACAAGAAGAAAGTATATGAGAGAAGAAGGGCACCAAACGGTGGAAGGCGGGAAGAGGTCAAGCCGAATGATAGAAGGCAGTGAGGGAGAAGAAGGTCACCAAACGGTGGAAGGCGGGGAGAGGTCAAGCCGAACAATGGAAAGTGGTGAGGAATCGAGCCAAACGACAGAAGGCGGTGAGGGCTCGAGGCGAACGGTGGAAAGAGGTCAAGAACTGGAGCCGATCGATTGAAGAGTTACTATCCTAATTGTTGTAGCAGTTAGGATGGGCGGGAAATATTTAGTAATAATTATAGTAAATAGAGCTATATCCTAGGGAAATATTCAGTATAAGATGGGCGGGAAATAATTATAGTAAATAGAGCTATATTCTAGGGAAATATTCAGTATAATATTTATCGTAAATAGAGCTATATTGTATGGAAATATTTAATATAAATAGAGCTAGATTCTAGTGTTAGGGTTATGTTTTGATTATTGAGTTTGTGGACAAGCGGCTACAGTCCTGTGTGGGAGGTTATGCTCCCAATTATTCTTGTTTACTTTTGTTTATTTAGAGAATTCTATTACCATTAATAAGAGAAATTCATTCTTTCATTATCTTTTCTACCTACTGTAATCGTGGTTAATTAGGTTTCTTACTCAGAAACCTAACACATTTTGAAGAAATCCCAAAGGAACCTCTTACTTCTTTACCCCGGTTGCCTTCATTTCCTCCCTTGGCAACATAAACGTTGTCCTCTGTATGCTTATCAAAGGATGCTAATCTTTTAACCACTATCGTCAGCCCCTTAATCATCTCCTCCAATCGTTGGAACCTTCTATGATTCTCATTGTCCTGTTCTTGCATTACTTTCTCCAGCACATCCAATCTTGCCTCCATTCTTGTAATTACCATGCCTCAACAACCACCACATCACCAAGAAAGAGGCTCTGAATACCAATGATAGGTACTCAGATTTTATTACTTTCTCAAAGAACTCCAAGACAGGTTCTTGGATGATCTTACAATGAAACGAGACAACTTGGTCTGCACTAGGATGTAGAACACACACAACACCAGGTCTTTCAAGAAGACCTGTCTCTCCCTTTCCTTTTACTATCAAAGAACTCCCAGACTAATGAAAACAACCTTGTACAAACTATATATAATAGTCAGTTTACAATAGTCCACCACACAGACAGTTATAACTGCCTGAACCTATCACATTATTTCTGTAATTATGTAACTTCATATGAAAAGGTTTTTTGTCTGAAATCACAATATCATTAATTGTGCTAGAAATTTGCTTAAATGTAGAAATTGGAAAAAAAAATGTTATGTTTCAGATAAAATTCTATTTGGTTTTAATTTGGTTGGTGTTGGTTGGTCAAGGTTTTAATATTCCTGATGAAGTTAAAAAATTTAAAATTGTAAACTATATATAAACTCACTTGTAATATTCTTTTTTATTCAGATGGAGAAGACGGGCATATTAATTAATTGCTTTTCCCTTGAGGGTCAACTTGCAAAATTAGAATTATTTGGATTACGGGCATTTCAACTTCTTCAAAAGATACTTCATCCTGTTGGAGGGTTTGTTGTTTAGTTTGGGCAAAAAATTTCTTTTTTTTTTTTTTTTTATAACATTAGTGATAAAAAAATGGCTTATTTTTCTTCTTGGCTCTTTAGTATTTCAGAGAATCATTGGCAATTAAAGAAACATATAGTGATTGAAGAAGGGTGTGTTTCTCAGAATAGAAATTCAACCACACTGAAAAATAGAGATAGTTTTTCTTCTTGTGCTATGTTACCTCTTAATGTTAAGGATCCTCGAGAATTGCCATGGAAGAGGAATGTTGTTCCAGTGGAGCACATTTCAACTAAGACTTTGAGTGATGCATCGGAAACACAGTGCAAAGAGCTTGCTGAACTGGGAGGAATTTTGGAAGAGAACAAAGATTTATCTTCATTATCATGGTCAAAACTTGAAGTTTGCCAGTCTAATGTTGATGATTTATGGTATGCTACCACCAGAAGGTTGAGGCCCCCAGTGGAAGACAATGTCCTTTCCAAGGAGAAACATCATGAACGAATGATTAATTTCTGCCTTGTTGATACAGATTCTGGACATGGCAGCTCTTCAACTAAGGTGCAGAGCTCGAGATCTTGCCCTATTCTTCTTTTAAAAAATGATGTGAAGGAATTGAGCATTGGGTAACTTCTTTAATCTATTTTTCCTTTTAATTTCTTGAATTTACTGGTGTTGTTTATGAACATATATCTAGACTATTTCATTATTGTTGGAAACAAACAATAGGTATTTGTGATCACTTGCTTAAGATATATACTACAAGAACAATAATAAGACAAACATATCACAATTTAAGTTTTAATACCCTGATGAGATTGAACATGATTCCTTGCAATGCATTGAATATTTATGTCAAAACCTTCCTTTATACTATACAATGAATGCTTCTGTAATTTGCTTCTAGATGGTCGTTATACTTCCCTTAAGTTGGTCAAAGCTTTCTGGATTCCGCTTATCTCCAATGGGGCACATGCAATAGGTTTGCAAGAGAAGCATTGGATTACATGTGAAGTGAGTATTTGCATTCATCTCCAACTGCCAAAAAATGCAAATTTCTGCCTTTTACTGTAACTAATATATCTTTTTCTCTTTATCCAGATGGGGCTACCAGTTTTCCCTTCAGATTTTCCAGATTGTAAGGCATACTCTTGTTTAATGGAAGAAAAGAAGCTGCATTTAATAAAAAAGAAGAACTTCGTCCTCCATCCATAAGGCATTTGAGAGTTCCCATCCAAACTCCATGGGGTATCGTTCGCATTACTTTTGACAAAATGATTAGTTCAATGAAGACTCCTGATCTTTCAACAAGGGAAGATTTGACCAACTCTAGTTCATTACCAAATCCTTACCCTGGTAGCTTTAAAATTCAAACTCTGACTCTTGGAGTAATTCGTTTATGGAACTGTAGTTAGGACAGGTTCTTGCTGACCACATTCCTCCATGAAACCAAAGTCGGTCAGTTGTATTGTTTCCTTAGCAACAGATGGAGAGGCTAGAATCTCCAAGTTTATTAATGGAGAATAAAGCTTGATCCAAGGTATACAAGCTCTGAATATTGACCATAAGCCATGTTTTCTAAGAGTTCATCTTTGTCCATTCAAGGAAGGATGTTTTGAAGAGGGTGCAGTTATTTGTGTACCATATCCTTCTGACATATTTTTATGGACTTCAAGGTAATTAATATTGAAATTATGAATTCCTATTTTAGTATTGAGAATAATATTTTCTTTTCGTTGGATATGATCTCTTATTCTAGTAAATTTTTCTGTTATATAGCCCATGGTTGCTAATTATAGGCTGGAATGGTAAAGAATAGCAACTAACAAGCAACATTGATTTTCTTAAATTCATTTTTATGGTTCATGCAATTCAAATGGAATCTTACAAATGTTGCTATACATTGTATAAGTCTGTGATTTTTCCGACTCTTTCAAGTACAAGATAAAGATGAAATGATTCATTCTTCTCCTGTTGCTTGGAAAAGATATTAAAATTAAAACTTCTGTGCAGACTAATATAAATCTTTTAAATTTAAGTATATATGTCGTGTTTATTGTTGCAGTTCAGAGAGAAATGAAGAGGGACTTCAAATGTCTCAGTCGCTATGCGATTATACTTCAAAGAACATTCCTCTGGTAGATGGGAAATGCAGATACCAGATGATTCATTGCTAGCAAATCTCACCGGTGGCCTATTGGCTTTGTCACAACAGGATCTGTTCAAGGAAGGTAGTAAAATCTTTATCGAATTTTTACTTTAATCATTTACTAGTATGTGCATAATGTCTACAAAACATTTAAATGTCTCATTATAGAGGATCTTACCGAGTGCAATGTCATTGCAGCAAGAGTCTTCTAGCTGAGGGCTTTTGCGAGGCTGTTTTACTATCTCATTTGAGAGAGGAACAGTGGAAGGAGATGCCTATGAAAAAGAGGAGAGAAATATATGTACTTGTCAGGAATTTGAGATCTACAGCATATAGACTTGCTCTTGCCTCTATCATTCTTGAATACAAGGAAAATGACATTGAGTTCTTGTAAAGTGTTTTTATGCTGGATTGAACGGTGCAACTTACATTTCTATAGTCAAATAGACAAAATTTTCCATACAAGAAAAGAGGAAAGTGAAGAAGATATCTTGAACTTTTATGTATCTTCAGTATAATCTAGACATTTGAAATTATCCATTCCTGTAACTTTAGCCCAGCAACTTGTTCATTAATTTTTGTAAATGTTGCTAATGTTATGTTGTTGTGCTCCTATATTAACGAGGGTCTGTTTCATGCTAAAAGTTGTTATAATTATTGAGAATTGCCTGCATTTGTTGGAAAACTAATAATTGTACTGAAAAATAACCTAAAATATACTATTAAACACAGGGAGGATAAAGATAAACATTTATATTTTTTATTTTGATAAAAGGAGGAATATACTTATATTATCTATAAGAGATTAGTTGTTAGATAATGATTATGCAACTGCCATAGTCTAATTTTAGATAATTAAATTAAAGGTTTAAACTCTTAGATGATCCTCGTATTTGTATGGAAATCTTATTTGAGTCTTCATATTTGAAATTGTCTCAATTAGGTCATAATATTTGTAAAATTGAGTCAATTTTACCTTATTCGTTAAGTTCTCACAGATGGTGTAAAGTCAGCTGATGTGGTGATATTGATTTGTGTGATCTTATTACATGGAAATAAGTTTTAAATAATGACGTGAAATTTGATAACCCTTACTGCCACATCATCATCCTCTCCACAAAAATCCTAATTCCATAACGTGCCGCAATTGTGTCGCCACCACATCCATGTCGCGCTGTCGCAAGGCCGTTGCCTAACCCTAATTCGTCCTCCTCCATCAACCTTTATCAGAAACCCTCCTCCGCATCGTCGTTAAGCTTGAACGCATCATCTTCTTTGTATTACAAACAACGCCGACCTTGCCGTCATTGTCTCAGGCAACAGCCGCCATCAACAACGTAAGACTTCACGCCACCATCCAATTTTCTACACCGCATCAGACCATCATCGGAACGCCAACAACGCCTCCATGGCCGCTGCGATTCGCAAATCTCCACGAACGCATCCATAATCTCTGCGAGCCAAATCGCAAGCCTCTTCCATGGCATTCTCCAGAATCGTGCAACTTATGCTCACGGCCAGCCACTATTTTCGCAATTCGAAGCCACCAGAAACCAACCCAGAATCGTGCTCTCCCACCATCAACACAGACCTACAATCAGAAAAACCTCAATCGCAAATCGCCGCGACCATGAGCCGCTGTCACTGTGTTCGTCTCCTTCATCTCCACTATCGCACAAACCTACAAAGTAAAACCCAATAGCGTTTTCCCCAATTCTCTTGCGAACCCTGCGCAATCATCTCATCACCACCGCAACATCGTGACCACCAAGCCTCCACCTTTGTATCGCAATACCGGTAGAAAATTCCCTGCAAAATATGTTCATCAAGCTTTCCTAATTTACACCATGAGTTTGATTCACTTGTAGTATCTGTGAAATTGCAAAAGGAGAAGCACAACCATGAATCTCCACGGTGCGGTAGAGGAGAAGAGGCGAAACCCTATTCTTGCATGCGTGACAGTGCAACAGTAGAAGTCTCTTTCCCCCAATCTGAAACCCTAATTTTGGGTGGGGAAGGGACTGACACATGTCATAATTTTTTAATTTAAATAAAAATTTCACCTAATTAATCAATGCACATCAGTGTAAACACGTCATCACAGTTTAACGTCGTCTGGGACAACTTAACGGATATGATATAAAATTGACTCAATTTTACAAATATTATGACCCAATTGAGACAGTTTCAAATATAAGGACCTAACTGAGATTCTCATACAAATATGAGAATCATCTAAGGTTTAAACCTAAATTAAATTATAATTGTAGTGGGGTTACTGCCCAAGTTACTATTTTAGTCTCGGTTAAGCGCTATTTTCATGGTAATAATTCTTTAAGTGAAATCCAAGTTACTTTCCCTTGGTTTAGTAACTTTTGATAAATACCAGGATTCAGTTAAATACAAAAATATTTATTACACTTTAATTACAAAAATGGTTTAATTTGACCAAGATGGAGTTTGTCGGGGAATTCTGAAGAGAGATATCATCTTTTCTTTTAGCTCTGTAAATAAAATCTGTATACGGATTAAAGGATTTCAAGTACCCTCAGAAAAAAAATAAAAAAAATAGTCATCCTGTATTATTACAACTTTTTTGTTTAAATATTATTTTTTATGTATATCTTTTTTAACTTTCTTTTAAGAACATTTTCTCATCTCTTTTAATTAATATATATTTACAAAGTTCCTATCTAAACTAATCTAATAATAAAAATAAATTATAGGTTTATAAAAAATACAATTTGGAAGTTTTGTATATACAACTAAAATTGTATCAATATTCTAATGATGTATAAAAGTTTAGAATATAATAACAAAATTATATATAAAAAAGAATACTATCTCATGAACCCCCACAAACTATGATTATAACAAAAAATTTCCTACTCTATTAATTTTCTCAAAATAAAAGAGAAATATATGTTTTCTGATTTATCAACAAGTGGAAAATTATAATTGAAACCTTGATCAAATCTCCATGTGATAAGTTTTTAATATAGTATAAGAAGATAGAGCAAACTCTAAGTGTGGAGGTTTGAAAAAGTTAAAATTATGTTCCTTCCAACTCTTAATTGTTTCCAATTGAGAATAAATCTATCGGGGATCTTGAAAATAGACCAAAGAGTCATCTACCAAGGTCTGGACTTTGAAACTATTAGGTTATTGTTTCTTAAGGATATTATTATTTGAAGAGGATGAGATGATTTTTACTGTGATTCAACCCCTTTTATCCCGTAGTTGTATATATTAATATTAAGAACTAAATTTTGAGGCTAAAATATTGATATCAGAAATTTTTAATTTTTCAAAACTTTACACATTTATTTTTTTAATTGATAAATTGTATTTTGATCTAATTCTCATCACGAGTAATATATTTATTAAAAACTATTTTCAAGTATAAAATTACATTATAAAATCTATTATGTTTTCCATGGGTGTTTATTACAATATTTATTGAAAAAAAAAGTTAATCGATATTACTTTTAATTTTTTTTATTAATATTTAAATTTCATTTAAGAAAAAGAATTAGTGAAAAATCTACTTTTAATTATTTACTAAATTATTTCATGATATTTGAGGATTACTAATTTATTAGTTCAACAAATGATACATACAAATCATTATTGAAAGAGTAGTTTCATCAATTCTAACTTGATTCATTATGAATGAACCACCCACAAGAAGTTATAACCACTATCTTGCAATCCAAAAGCTACTTCCTCCATTTGCACCTCACTGAGAGTTGAAAAACTTCCAAATGAAACATAAACAATGGACGCCCTTGGCTTCTCATCCATCCATTTCACACATTCTTCACTCTTGAACAGACTGAAGCCATACTCATCATCATCTTTTGCTCGCTTGTCTAGAAACATGGATGGAATAGTTGGCCCAATTGTCTTCAACTTTGGCCAGATCTTCATCAACCATTCTGTTACCTGCACAATATTTTGCAGTCTTTGTAAGTGAAAAATGTAGTATAAAAAACAAACTAAGTTAGTACAACAATTTTATCAGCTGGGTCAACAACTGGACTATCACTGTATAAAAAAATAAACATTACCAACATATTTAAATTTATCACTATATAATAACTTTTTGATAAAATTAAAATTACTTAAGAAAATATCCATCAGGAAAGTTATATGTTAAATTGTTGACCGAGTTAATATATGGACAAATATCCTTAATATCAATTATTGATGAATAAATTTATTGATAAATTATTTGATGAAATTACTGTGACATTTATATTAATTGTTTAGTTGATTAAGAGTTAAGGTGCTACTAAACATTTACATGAATGTCCTTTGAGACATGCTATTACTGACAAATATATACTTCGATAATTATTAAAGGAAATATCTATTGGTAATCATCAAAAGATTCTTTTGTTGACAAAGGTTGCTAACTATATTTTTACGAACTGTCCCTTTGCAGTAGAGAAGAAAACGAGGTTGTCTAAGAAAAATATTTTTGAAATTTTGGATTGGACAACATCTTTGGTCGAGGCACGACCTACCAAACTCACATTCTTCTCTTTTGATACTTTTTTATTCATTTTTTTTTCGCCATCTAACTTCTTCTTAAGAATTATTTGATCCTCCCTCACTTCCAATGTTGTAAGAGGACTCAAAATAATTTTCTTGTCTTTATGTTGGATTGTTATCTTATTAGTGACTCCGTCGTGAAAAACTTGTTTGTCGAATTGAAAGGGTCACCCAAGTAAGATATTCCCAACTTCCATTAGAACTATATCACAAATGATTTTATCTTCATATTTGTCAATGGATATAGGTACACTCATTTGTTCCTTGACTATTATCCCTTCCTCCTCTTTGATCCATTGAAGTGTGTAAGGGTTTGGAAGAGGAGTAGTAGTTAAGCCTAACTTATCAACCATTCTCGAGTTGCAACAGCTACAACAAGAACCACTATCTATAATCATGGAACAAGTTTTGTTTAAAACTTTATAGCGTGTGTGGAATAGGTTTTCTCGTTGAGATTGTTCTAGCTCAACATGCTTTGTTTGAAGGAGTCGTCTGACAATAAGCAAATCTCCATCTCAAGGTGGAGTCTCATGTTCCTCGTCAGACATGGATGACTGTGACTCACTTGAGGAAGACTCCTCACTATCACTATCATGCTCAAGCATGTAGGTTGACCTCTTTGTATGACACTCAAAAGAATAGTGTCTCCTTTCCCCCACACTTAAAACAACGAGTCTCTCTCTTTTCCTCTTTCGCTCTCTTTCTCTCTTCTTATCTCTGTTTCCTTGCCTCTCACTCTTTCCTTCTTTCTCTTTTTCCTTTTCTCGAGGTTCCTCATACCTCGATTGATTACACTCCCTCTTAGTATCTTTCCTATACATGGAGGTGGTAGGGTAAGTCCTCCTA